AATATAATCTGTTGCAAAGATATCATCAAGTACTTCCTCGTCTTCAGGTTCTGATTCTGATAATTCAACTACAGCCTCTGCAAGCTTATCACGCTGAGCCTCAAGCTCTGCCGCCTTACGACGTTCTTCTTCTAAGCGCTCTGCTTCCCGCTTAGCGGCTTCCTCTTCTTCAAGTCGTTTCTTTTCAGCTGCAGAAGGTAAACGCTGGTAGAAGGATTCTTTTTTTATGCGATCAAGCTCGTCTTGTGTTTTATGAAGTATAGTATCAACACCAGAAGTTAGTGCCTTAAATTTTGCCCACTCTTCGTCTTCTTCCGATTTTTTGACAGTTGTAGCGGTATCAGCACCGTCAGCGGTGCTTTCAGCTGCTTGAGTAGTAGCAACACTAAAACTGCTACCACCAGCGACTGAAACAGATGCTGTTGACGCTAAACCTTCAACGTCTGATGCTGCGTCTGATTCACCAGCGTCTGATTTAGCAGCAGCAGCTTCTTGCTTTGCTTTAAGGTCACGTTTATATTGTTCGAGTTCCTCTTCAGTGAAGAGTTCTTTATCTTTTTTTGACTTCTTCTTTTTCTTCTTTAAACCTTTTGGTAACTTAAGCATTCTCTAATTGCGGAGACATCGAAATCGGTCTAACAAATATGTAAAAATATTATATTTTAAACTTTTAGTAGAAAGGAATAAAATGCATGCAAACAGGGCAATGTAACGAAATAAATTAGTAGATAAGAAAATAATTTAAAAATATAGTATATATATTGGAAGTAATAGATTTCTTAAAATAGAAATCCTTGAACTCACACTAACCTTAAACTTCAATTATTTTCACCATACATGCGTGATAAGAGTTCGATACGGAAATAATCTCAAAAAAGGAAGCTTACAAGTAATATTACATAATCTAATATATATGTACATTCTAATAACGATTTTGTAAACATATTTACAATCAATTTTAAATGATGATTAGTTGGAATTTTTTGAAATCATTGAAACCAATTGTAGGAAGTTCGGGGTATAAATTTTTATGACTCACCACAAAATCGACCTTTTTGTTTGTCCTTTAAAAATATATAGCTTTTCAATATTTGTAAATTAATTTTATGCCTTCTTCCTTTTGCATATTAGCATAAATATGTTACATGTATACAATTTATAAATAAAAATTAAATTCTCTTAATAATTCACCACACACAATGAAAATCACTTTTATTTTAATTGCTTTTGCCATAAATTTCATAAAAACCACACGTTGCAATGGTGGGTTTCAATTGCCACCACCACCACAAAGTTGCGCTGACAATTACTGCTGCTAAAGCACCGCAATGAATAGAGAAAAAAATGTAGGCAAAAGTTGTCGAAAATACACACAATAGAGCACATACACGGGAAATATGCTTTTTCTTACTTTTGAAAAATCGATTTTTACACCACTCACCATTGCAAAATTAACAGTAAGGAAAATTTAAACTAAATGCATTCAATAAAAATTCAAATAACGAAAAATTACTTTAAAATTTTAAAGGTGAAAAATAAGAACTCTTTTAGGAGAACAAAATAAAATGCTTAGAAAAGGAAATGCAGAAAATTGGTAAAAATCGAAATTTTCTTCTTGCATTTTTTTTTTTTTTGTTCTTAATTTCAACACCAAAATTACAAACGATGCAAAATTCTTTTTATAAAAAACTTACGTCTCTCTTTTGTAACAACTAAAAAGCGTTTATTTCATTATTTGTTCATAAATAAATTAATTAAATTTTTTCTCTAACTGTAATTGTCTTTTTTTGAATTTTCACTTCTACTACGACATGAATTATCGGAAAAACTCGTACTGAATGATGAAAATTGCGAAATTTTCAAATGACAGTTTCTTGCTATAATTTTCTAAAAGCTTATTAAGCTTAACCCAAAAGCTTTTATCACTAACACTTATGCAATTTAAAAATTATAGGAAACTGACATCTGTCAAAACGTGTGTCAATGTATTGGTATTAAGCCGGTGCTAGTTTAAATCGTAAACAATTGTTGTTTTAAGTATTTTTTATGTATTAAAAAATTATTTTTACATTATAAATACATAACGAAAACGTTAAATGTGTTTCGATAATCTATTTACTCAACATTTTTTAACATGACAATTCACCTCAGAAAAGTAATTAAGGTTTAAACATTTGTAAACAATCCCTTTAGGAAAGGCGACAGTAACGGTCCGACGAGTAATAACATTTGACATTTGGAGTAAACAAAGCCATTGCGCAGTCGTCAGAAAATTGGTGGAAATTAGAAAGAAGTAATCTGAGAGAAAGAGACACAATTAAATTAACATATGTTAATCAGTTTTATAGCATCTAAAATAAATGACCAAATGCTAATTAAATGTGGACAGTGGGGTCTGAGTCTCAAATTCAGTATGTCAATTTTAACATCGAAAAAATTTGTAGAGACAAAGTTTAAAATCATTTTCTTACTTCGCCTTTTCTTGGTACTGTTAACTGGCACTTTAACTACCCTTCTATGAGAAACCAATCCTACATATTTTTTGAAGCTATAGCTAGTACTTTACATTTTTTTAATTATTTTAATGCATATATTAGAGACAAGTATGACACTAATCGTTGACGTGAGTTGAGTAAATAGGTTTACTTTATAATAGATATAAATACAATTTAGAATGGCACTACATATGCTGGGTAATATTTAAAAATGTGTGACTTTATGGTACTATCGATGCTATAATAATTTATTTTCCTACTTTACAAATAAATTAGTTTTATTTACTTTTTAAAGATACCTTATTTTTATTCATGTTTTTATATATTTTTTTATCTGACCCTTTTCGTTAAACAATTCAACGTTTAATATTTTTTATTATACTCTATATTATACTCCATATAAAAATATTATTTATATTTAAGTAATACGCTATTAAAGCACCCCGACCTAAAAGATCTATTGTGCGCCTAAAGGCCCAACTAGGACAATTTTAGACTATTTATAAATCTTGTAATTGCTGTGGGCTTAATTTTACCTATTTGACTTGAGACCAATATTCCGCTTCCAAGGTAATCGAGTCTACGTCTTGCCACCGCTGGGCAGTTGCATAGAACATGTCCTGATGTTTCCTTCTCTTCATGATAGAGTCGACAGGAGTCACTATCTACCACACCTATAATTTTCATGTGGTAATTAAGTCTACTAATATTAATATTAAATGTTAAATATATATTATTGTCATTCATACCGGACAGATTGTAATAAAATAAATGGATTATAAAAAAAAAAATTTTTGAATTAACAAAAAGGGACCTATAACCAGATTAAAATATATATAAAAACCATTAATTTTTATTTTATTTTTTAATTATTTTTAAAAATAAATTTCATTTTCAGCTATATCAAATTTTTGTAATTTTAAAGTTGAAACAAACTCTTTTTAATTGATTAATATTGCAAGAGCAGAAATTCAAATAAAATCTGCCCGTTTAATCCCCACAACCATTTTCTTTAATAAATTAAATAAAGCATCACTTAAGAAGTCCTTAATTTTAGTATATCCATGAGATATATGCAATAAGAGTATTTGTATTTTTTTGTGTAGTATATTATGCATCCATCAATGCTGCAAGATATTAAACCTTTAAGCCCAGCATTCTTTAAACTGATCATAACCTATTCCTATTAAAATATTTCTAAGAATCTTTCTTTGAATATTTCTTTGAATATTAATAAATTTTTATAGTATAAGAGATATTATAAGGTATAGTATAAGAGCACAAAGAACACATAATAGAATATAACACAACAATAACACTAAGAAATAAGACCAATCGATCTACTAAACACAATAGCTATGGGCTATTATGTTTATTCTAACTCGAATTGCTATCGCTAAGGACCCATGGGCCAATGCATAGCCTGGTAGCCTAATTCATATATTATTACAAACAATTATTACAAACAATTATTATTATATATATATTACAAACAAATATCAGACAATACACTCTTCATAGAAATTAAAAAATATTTAAGTGCTCTGGCAGTGGCTAATAAAAAGTACTTTTTTATAGACAATTTTGACAATTTAATATATTCTTATAACGTAATCCCATATGATATGTAATAGTTTTAAATGTACTATACTTGACTTTACCAATTGTTAATAGTTCTACCTAATTAAACAAATAGAAATTAAATGCTGAGAAAATAATATTTAATGATTAGAAGTTCTATAAACTGGAGTTTCTATAAAGGGAGTTTGCTTACACGGTCAGAAAAACTATAATTTGTAATACCACATTACATTAATTGCGATCTTAGCAAAGACTATACCTAAAAAGCTCTGTTACGTTGCATTTATTGATTCATATAAGCTTCTGGTGACATTAGGCTCTCTAGTATATTCTATGAATTAAAACACTACATTGTGCTCTCTTGTATATTCTATGAATTAAAACATTACATCGCTTGCAATTTTGCAAATTTCTTACTCAGAAAGAGAGACACAAGTACTCATATCAACCAATAAAATAAAAGCCATTAAAACTATATATAATTTTATTTAGTTTACAATTGTAAGAAACACTTTATTATACAATATATATAATAAGACTTAGGTATATATAATAAAACTTTTTTATACAGTTTGTAAAAAAAATATGAAACGTACAGAAATCGCAACTGGACCATCATATAAAATGCCCCTGCAGAAAAAAAAGCACATGCTTATAAGACATAAATATGGTATACCATATATACTAAATTTTTCGTGTATTTCTAAACATATGAAAAATCTCTTTTCATTTATACTGAAATGTTAATATTAATTTCTATATTTTAGTGGTTCTTTTAACAAAAGATTAAAATGTAAAATCATAGCTAAATATCATAATTACATTTAAATCAAAAAGTTTCAGTAACGGGTACTTAGTAATTTTAAACTTTATTTCGTATTATTTTATTATTAAATATTTTCGACTACTCAAATATTCCTTAGTTTAATTTAATATTAATTTTGAATAATTTACCATTTTAACCATGTACCTATTAAATACTAATTTTTTAAATAAAAATCTTGTATATATAACATATATATAACATATATATATAACATATAACATATATATATTATTCAAGTCTCATAACAGAGCACCTCTATAAATTTCTGGCATAGTTGGAAGTATAGTAGTGTAAAAACAACTTCTTTTAAACGTAGGTCCGCAAAACTGACAATTCCATATATATTTAACACGCACTACTTTCAATACACTACTTAATAAGACCTAAAGCTTGACACATCATAAAATAGTTTTGTATATATGTTTATTTTCCCTACATATATCTAGTTTCTTTCACAAAAACTATAATATATATTGTTTTTACTATTTTATTAAGTTTTCTATATATACAGCAACAACATTAAACCAATATATATATGTATTAAGTAATTAAACACAAAAGCACTTTTTTCTGCTGGGCTATTTAAGGAAAATTTATGCACATAAAAATTTATAATTCTCAATCAGTTAAGAAATATTTATATATATAATAGTACATATTTCCAAATACCATCAAAAAGGGTACTCGTCTTTGCACTTCACGTAATGGTTGCAGACGCACCTGCTTCTGTTTTGCAATGGATTGCGATGCTATTTTGCTTGCAGTTCTTGTGCAGAAGTAGTCCGATGGGGTATGGCTTTGCATATCCAGTACATAATTTTTGTAATGCGGGTTAGGTGTACGCTGAATTGCAATTGCTGCAGTAGTTGCGTATAGGTGAATGCCTAAGCTCGCCCAGATACTATGCATTTAAACTTAAATAGAACCCACAGTGCAGAAATTGTAACATCCCTAGGAAACTACACAGGTTTCACTACAATGTGAATTTTTGCTACATAATATACTCTAAAAACGCGTATTAAGGATTTGTCCAGAAATACGGATGAGCTCTACTGTACGTCCATAAAATGAATTTTTCGGAAAAGTGAAAATTGTATTATTTTAGTACAAATTAAATAGACTAATTTTGATTTATTATAGAATTAGATCGCTGGACGTCAGTCATTTAAGAATAACTATTTAAATGTGATATTTTGTCAGAGTTTATTGATATATAGAAAGACGTTTTATGTAAGCGCTTATATAAGATATCTTTAGGTTATTGGCAGATTATATAAACCATTCATTTCTGTACTAGTTATAATCAAATTAGAATTGATCAATAACGCTATTACCATCGTTTCAAAATCAGTAGCGGTCTTATATGTACTGTGTTTTTAGGTTATATTACTTGTATATTCGCAACAAATGGATTAAAATTTATTGGTCTAAGGATCCAATAAAAAATAATTATTGTCTTTTACAATAAAGACGGATAGATGCTTTTTATCTAATTAGATATCATGGAAGTTGCAGTCTCAAAAAATTATTTACGAATAATTAAATACAAGGAATAATTCCAAGATCACTGATGATGGATATTTGGCAATATTTGAAACAGCTGTATGGAAGAGTTAAAAATTCAATTAATTAAAATAATATAAAAATAATTTTTGTTGTTGTAGTTCACTACTTTTCGAAACCTCTCTATTTATTATATATTGCAATTGTCTTTCACAATAAAGATAGGAAGACAAATAAAGATGGATAGATATTATGTATCTAATTACATACATATGTAATGAGAAAATTCATTTTATTGCATATATTTATATAGTAAATGTTGCTGAGCGAATGTGATCTAAGGCGGTAAACACACATATACATTGTTTTTATATATTTACATTGTCAATTATCTTTTGCAAATTCAATTTATAGTTAATTCAAATACTTTTATATATCTTTTGATGATTTGGGCAACCAGTGAATTTGTTGGTATCGGCAGCATTCGCAGTAAAAAATACTATGATTATTTTACAATACCTCAAATGATTTTTTTTTCTACCCAAAAACATTGTCTAACCAACATTCGAGACTTTTTTCACAACAACCAGTGCGAGTTGAGTTCCAATAGTGAGCTGTTATCAACTATGTATCGATAAGTTATTAAAAATGACCATAAAAGTATCCAGTATTATAAAACTTCCTATAGAAAATACTTGAATGATATGATATATTGATATATGATATACTTAATGTCACGGTCCAAGCTTTACATATGTATATTAGAAAAAAAAATTGTGTTTCGTTTATGTTTACTTTTGATACCACTAAATGGGCAACCCTTTATAGAATAAAATAAAAAAATGCAGTTTATCTGTAAAAGTGTCTGTAGAAAATACTTGAGCAATGTTATTTCTAGTTTATACGTAGGTTTAGGCAAGAGAAATAGATTGAAATAAAAACTTGTTCGTTAATCTCAATCAGATATGCGTTTTATTTAAATGTACTTTGGATAACCCTATGCAACTTAGTTGTAAATTTAAATATAAAAAAAACGATTTATCTTTATAACAACATAAATTATTTCTTATCTATTTTTTTGTTCACAGTGTTATGAATGACCAAGTGATTCATACTTCTAAACAATCTACGTTTAAGTCCCGCAAATATTAGATATATTTACATAAGGCAAATATATGACTATATGTATATACATGATGTATGAATTTCTACCTTAATTATTTCAGAAATTGAGTGATATTGCAATACTATTCCAAATCGAACTCTTGACAAGTTCCCAATAAAGCAGGTAAGTCCAGAGTATGCTAAATACTTTTATTGACACTACGAACTGTGAACTGTAAAAATTTTTTAGCAATTGAAGGCACTTATAAGTAAGTAAAAAAAATTAATGATTTATTTTTTAAAAATTTATTGAATTATTCAACAATAAATAAAGTTTTATTTGCTTAAAAAAGTTATAAATTGATTGCTTAGCGGCATTAATAAAATAATTATTAATAAATACATTTATAAAATTTACATGTAATATACACGCACAAATACATTTAAGTTTTTATACTGCACAACTATAAAAAATTTGTTTATAAAGTACACAGTTTATAAAGATAAATTAAGGCACTAAAGTTCTCTTTCAGCTTAGATACAAGTGAACTTAAGACTAAAGTTAAGATTAAATTAATGATTGTTAAAATTACTATCAATGGCATTTAGCATGAAGGTGACTTTGGGTACTTCTAAGGTGACTTAAAGTTTTAATGAAGATGCTTCAATACTTATTTTTACAAATTCAGTGAAATTCAGCTTATTTAAAGCAATTTTGCTAAAATTAAATTTTGATTCTCGGAGTTAATCGACAACTGTCGCCTAACCACCATTGTTCGATGTTGCGATAGGTTTGCGTCTTTTGCTGATTTGTAACGCTATGAAGCTGCGCGCATAGTTCGCAGAAAGGTGAAAAGTAACCCAGTTTATAGTGCTCTCGCCACCAGAAATAACGCAAGTACTCTTTCGGATGCGTGGATAAATATTTAAGATACATTGCTAGTTGTTCGACACTTTCGAATTCTTCTGCATTTATGTACGAACGCGGTGGTAAAAATAGTTCGTAGTTTGCACCTCCATAGACAATTGGTATAACCTGTCGTCTCAGTGCATTGTATATTTTCTCCGTCACATAATCCCGGCATAATGAATTCTCAAATGATAAATAAAATTTATATTCCTTGTCAAGCATCTCATCGCATTCACTTTCCTTATATGGACAACTGCAAATTAAATTAAAGAGAGATTAATAATTTTTTAATATTTATATTATAATATTTTCACTAACAAATGTTTAATTTATAAATGTTAATGTTGCATAAATGTATAAATATTTAATAATTTTAATTAATTCAATTATAATAATCATTCTTATACCATGTTTCTACTGCTCACTTAGTAAATTACTTGAGTAACTAAGATTTTATCGTTTCCATTGATAAAAGTTATTTATTGCATTTTTTTTTTATTTATTAATAAATGTCTTTATAGAATCACTTTAAGTTAAAGCCTAACAATAAGTTTTAGAATTTTAAGGACTAATAACATTACATTACAAATTATTTTAAAAAACATACTATAATGATTTGTAAATTATTTAACGAGGCCTTCGAATAAGTAGCCACGTCTTAAACAGGATAATCCTTAGGAAAGCAAAATGGCAGTCTATCATTCCGTTTCAGCCTAGAGGAATTTATCATATTAATAAGAGGTCTAGCCAGCGAATTCACATGGTTTTCAAGATTTGAAACATGTTTCTGCCTTATTTTCTTGATTTTAACGATCGGAATTTCCAAATCGAAATGTATGCTCTCATTTCTGATAAACTAGGGTGTACCGCCCATCTGTCTTAGAATCATTGCTTGAGCACTTTGCAAAATTTCTACGTTTGACGAACAGTCATTGCCATATAACTTATTGCATGTGAAAGAAATTTTATGTGTGAGAAAGTTCTTTAAAAATACTAAGAGAGCTTATGTTTGTTTAAAAAAATTTCACTCAATGTAATATCACACAAAAAATTGAATACACAATTGACATATTACATATTCAATTTATAAAAGCTGTTGTTTGTTTACAATTTACATAAAAATCATTTAACGATTATTTAAACTTTGGATAATTTCCCCTGTGGGAAGTTTATTTTGAAGGGTTGCATTCAAAATTTTTTGCCTTAAATGAGTTGATTTATTGCTAATGAGCTGATTTATATGAAAGCTTCTTGTATGGATTTACCATACATTCTCATTAGTGGCTATAATGAACTAAATCGCATAAATGAGACAGTGTGAATATGCAAGTAACTAAGCTAAAAAGGATGAATGCTCTTTGTATGGCTAATTAAACTTAATTAGCGAGCTTAAGTAGATAAACTGGTCTAATGAAGGAAGTGGAAACATATAATATCATAGGCCAGAATGCATATGGAAGTTATTTTCCCTCACTACCTATTTGTTAATATTAATATTATTAATGTTTGTCTATACGTTATTACAATAATTGTTCTCAATTACATTATGAGACCATACTATATACATATTTCTCTGCAAAATATATTTAAAAACTGCTTATTACGTTGTAACTAATTAGTGATAATGCAAATTTCCTAGTACATTAAAACAGGAAATAAAATAAAATATGATAGCTTTAAAGCTTGATAAATTATTGTTACTGAAAGCTTTAATAAATTAATGTAATGAAATTACCACAATAAAATATTGTATACGTTTAATAAGAGAACAAGTAAATGCATAATATATTTATATACATATGCGAAAAATAAACGAGTTTCATATTAAGTACATTAATATACACAATTTGATATTAATTCTTATTATTGTCGCCTATATATGTTGTATTCCTTATATGAAATAATTCATCACAGAATTTTGACGTGCGCTAGGTATTAGGTATTCGTTATATTTGACATCAATGTTAATAAATTTAAAATAATTAATAATTTTAATTAGAGCACAATATATTCCTGTTGAGTCTGTTTCAAGGTAGTACATCTGGGCACTTTTACTCTTTGTTATCTGGGGGATTTCTGTAGAGTTTCACCCTTATTAATAAATAATTTATGTATTCCTCAAAAACTTTGTGATTATTCGATGACTGATCTGAGATGTGCATACCGCCCCGTGCGGTAAGATATTATTCTGAGATTAGATAGTGCTAACTAGAGCAGCCTGTCGGTTTTCGCGAATAGCTTCAGAACTCTGTCCCTTATGTATTTTCTGACCCGCTCTATTCTAAGGTCTACAGTTGTAATACTCGTCATATTGGATAGTATAAAAATTTTTAAACCATTCACAATGATAATTACAAATTACGATTTATTATTTATAAAGACACACAAACTAAATATTGTTAATTTTTTAATTAAATTGATAACATTCTCTTTAAAAGTAAAAGTTTTAAAGACTTTTCGCAGACTTTTACGAAATCCAAATTTACCGCATTAAGAGTACTAAAAAGTGTTGAATAAATGGTGAATGCAAAATTAAAGTTTAGACTGTCTTGTGGGTACATCAAAAATACAGCCTCAAAACTTTCTCAAGTTTTAACTAAAGAAATATACGCGTTGGTACCTTTGTTATGACCGTTGGTTTAGTGTGGTCCAACTTTTATTTGATGCAGTTACCTGTCAATCGTTCAACTTAAAATGATTTGGTTTAGCTTATAACAAGAACAGCAGGAACTTATAATGTACATGACTCTTTTAGTTCAAATAAATTAGCAATATTTTCTTCCGTATCATCAACGCCGGCTTTGCAACAGTGTGGATACCCTTAACGTGCTTCAACCATGTTTTTCCATACCACATAATCGTACAAAATACATTTTATGAAATATAAATAAATAATAAATAATATGGTTTTGTTTCAACAACAATTTCCATAAATTAATACCATTCAGTCAATTTTTATTGCCCACTGTTTATAGAAGAATACAATAAAAGATATATGAGATGTTGCCATTTAAGTGGAACAGAGTTTTTCTAAACACATTTAACCACAAAGAAAACTTACTGTCCTTCGAATTAATACCAGAGTGTCAATTTTTAAGGATTTCTTAACATCATAGGATGTTTTATAGGTATAGATACAGATATGGGTATAGGATTTTCCGATCAAAGAGCTGATATTTTTTCTCAGACAGTTAGTTTGTTGAGCTGATAACACAGACCATGATAACCCATTAGATAACCCAGTAACAACCTGACCTTGTAATGAGGAAGGACGCACTATCGTACCTATACAAACAACTCAGCTAACATAGTGGATACCTGAAATATTGCGCCCAGATATATTGTGTATAGTAAACACATATTGATGTTCTCTTTATAACTAGATTTAAACAGTTGTTAACTGTTGATAGATCTTTCTTTACTTTTTCAGAACTCCATTGAATTTTTATTTTTCCAAATCAGAATCAATCGATATAGGCCAAACAAAAAATTTTGTTTAGTTTCAGAACAAACATCAAATATGGTTTTTAACTGTAGACTAACCGATTTAAAACTCCAGAATTTAATGTATCAAGCCATTTTATAAAATTACACGCAATCTTTTTTCTAGGTAACAAATCCAGGTCATTTTATTTTGGATCTGTAAGCATAATAAGAATTTTTTGCAGATGAATATGTAATTGACATTACTAAACCACTATACCATTACTCTATTATTGTAATACTATGTTTACTCTTGGACTTACAGAACCTGTTTACCGAATTATTGTATGAATTTTGTGTGTGATTATGAAAAATAGCACATATTGCTGTAAATTTGTTGAATTAAATACAATAGTGTAAACAGAACACACAGCTGTTATTAAAACATATAGAAAGGTTTAAAATCTCCAACATTTTTATTACAAATCTGGAGAGCTACACAACATTTACTGACTCATCAGCACTCTGACTAGCGGATCTCGAAGCTATTTTTTACTTTAAATTTATTAAAAATTAGTAAAAATTAGAACAAATTAAGTATTCGACTTTAAACTTAGTTAAAAAATTTATATACTCAAGTACTGGTAACAATTAATCTAAATTTGAAATTAATTATTATTCTTGATAAGATTCTGATTATTTTTTCGTTAAAATATGTATATCCCAATATAAATGGAAATCAAATATGACAGATTCTTAAAATGATAAACATGCTAAATTTGATATATCAAAAATATTTAATTAATCGATGTTTTATGATTAATATCAATTAAATAACTATAAGTAGCCCATAACTTATTTTTATGGTTTCAATAAAAAAAGGAACTGAGTATATTTTAGCTTTCACAGCTGAGCACAAGAGGGCGTGGCGTAGTCTTGAAAAACGTTTTGATAAAATCCAAATAGTGCGCTTTATCAAATACGTGCTTTAATGATTCAAATACTTTTATTTGTTTTTTAAGTCTAATTATGAATGTTGA